CAGTATCTAAATGTATAATGAGTAATAGTAGCAGTTATGCAATGCATCGATCAAAAAAAGTCATGAAAGGCAACTGTCATTAGTCTATGATCATGAGCGGCGAAGCCTCTTAACTATTTATATCCTAGTTATAGTAGCCATTTAGTTGCATATATATTAATATGTTTACATGTTTGTGCGTGCTTTTGATTATGACGTCATTATGCATCCTCATATGATCCGATATTGTGGCTGTGGGCTTTGGGATGTGGCTGAGTTTGGCACCTTTTCAGTTTTCCGTCCTCATCAATCAAACACTCGTTGCCTCATGGTTTTAGGTAACAAATTGCGAAGTGATGGGTGTTTGAAACATATAACTACTACCAGTTGAACAATAGGCTCCTCGTAAAAATAACGATAAACTGAGTTTGAAGTATTGTATGGTGATCATCATACTCATTCCATTCTAGTAACCATTTTACGATTACGCCATGTGATACAGAAAATTTTTTCCTTTCCCCTTAAAAATAGTGGCCCCTCCGGAATATACCTCTCTGTCTTTTTGTCCATTAGAGACCAAGTAAGTAAACTTTACAAGACCTGTACCAAATTGCGCGCTCTTGCCGAGGAAGCTAACATTTGCACTACAACCCCTCCCCCAAGCCGAGGAAGCTAACATTTGCAATACAACCCCCTCCCCCAAGCAAATATGCTTATGCACGAATCGGCGAGAAGTCATGAATGAACTTCAGTGACCTGTATTCGATGTATAGTATATTTGTGCCTGCTGCAGCGCTTGAAGCGAGTGGCAGGCTTGGGCGATGACGGTTTTATATTTGTGCCTGCGTATTTCAGGCTACAGTTTTCTCGGAAATGATATGATATTGTTTGTAAGTTATTATGTTATTCACAAAGTTGCAATATATAACAAGTCGTTTCCCAATATCTGAATATCGAACGATATCCTGCACGTTCTTACCTGTAGAACTCTGCCCAACAGGGCACCCTCCCCTCCCGCTCCGAACAATTTACATGTCATGTAAGTTATTGTTAAAGTCATTTCCTACTCGTCTAACTATCAAACGACATCCAACACTTGTTCGTATCTGTAGCTTATCATATGGTAGCTATTTACCGCCTATGATATCGTAAAGCAATGTAAGTTCTCATAAATTCTAATTACAAATGAAGACCCAATAATCTTAACTCGAGTTTGCATTACCATACCATACTATTCTGTAGTCCTTCTTTCGCTTGTCCAAAAGTAAAGGTTAGGAACGAATTTATACCACCATCAACAATATGATAATGGTACGACACACTGTATTAAGCATTTCGTAGTCGATCACTTTTGTTTTAGTTATAAGCGTTTCTTTGACATCTTGCTATTATTGTTGGCTTATTTCTTTGCTTAGGGACAGACGAATACGTTACGAAGTAAATGTCATGCGCAACGCGCAACGCTTATGGTTATAATTAAATAAACGTATATAGTGCTATCTCGCTTTCCTCTTCTTGAACGTCATGAGAGACTATTTCAAATCAATGATTTTTAGCGATCGCAGTAGCTTATTTTAATACCATAATAGCAATGCAATGCAATGCTAGAGACATGCTACGTGGAGATTGTAAAAAAATTGTTCTCATTCCGTACCAACTTTAAACTAGGCTCACGAGTCAACAAACAGCCTCGGCGGCGGTTTCTTATACCTTACGTTTATATATTTTATACCTGATGCCATATTATACGCTTAGGCCGCAAAAAATGCTTGCCAGAAAGCACCACCTATACAGCGAAATCTGTCCATAATTACACGTTTTGGTATGTTACAATGCAAATTTTGGAAAGATGGTGATTATAGCTCGAAGTGATTATGGATAATGGAAATTTCTCGTCATAATTGACAGTGGGAAGGGACAGAGTTTTATATTATAAACGGAAGGCAGTAGTTCACTGTATAGAATTTAAGATTGTTTGTTGAAAATGATCATTACAACCCACAATAACTGACATTATGTTCATGTCCAAGATTTAATTCGCTCAATCTATATAACGAACAAGTAGATTAACATCGCGAAAGTAAATTATACACGTAAATAGTAACGGTCTGCAAGATGTTAACGACAATACTGACATCTAATTTAGCGCTTAATTTTATGCTATTTTGCCATGGCTGAGATTTGTCTGTTTAGTTCTAAAAAGAGAATGAATTCAAGTTTGTGACACGCTAATTCAGTATATCAATAACGTTGTTTAGACTCAATTTAGTGTATTGAATAAATAAACCGTATTCAAACAGATATCGGCCTATTTATGCCGCATGATCAAAACGCAACCAAATTTCATTATCCTGTGCGTTAAACTAAATTCAGTAAATAACTAAGATTGTAAAAAATAAACTTTACAGATAATCTCTTCTACATTAAATTTCAATAATTATACGCTTACAAATTATGCGAATCAATCTCTCTGTCCAGTTAGTTGCTGTGTTCCTCCGACATGTATCAGTGAACATCAATTTTTGTTTGTAGCCGAGTACTGGTATCGTTAATAAAACTACCAAGCGATATATACCTTCTACATGCAGACTACGATAATATAATCTCTGTAATAGTGCACACATTATAATTAATTCTATTGGTTAATCAATTTTTTCAATTGATTAAATGGGAAATTTCTGCCGTCTAGTTAACATATTGTAAAGATTGAACCCATATTTTTTTATTTGTTGATTCGGCGCATATGAAAATTACATGACATTATCGGACATTTGTGTTTCGGCAGAAACGGTATCGTAATCGCGGTTATTTTGAGAATAGAACTCAATAGTAATTCAGGCAAGTTTTTTTCCCAACAATATTGGGTATTGCCCGTCAATAATTATCTGTCAATGCCTGAATTACACAGTCGACTTTTGAAATAAGATGTTCTGCACATCAACTGTAATAAGGAATATGTCCAAATAGCATTTATTATCTACACTGGTTAATTCCGAAGTGATATATGTCAGATCAGAATTTTATATCGCTTATTAAAAATTTGAGCGGGAAAATTCTTTATCTTAGAGTGATTTTATCTTAAAGTGACTTTATTTTATCGAGTGAATAATATATTGTCGTATGTCAGTTTAGAAGCGACATAAAATTCTGATCTGACATAATTCCGATCTGACATACAACACAGTCAATGTCAGAGCGTGAGTATAATCTATGGTAGTAATGTACGTACATAGTTAAAATTATTTATTGACTAGCAAGAGTTATTTTTGAACACCGATGTACGAGCACCGCTCCGACTTCAAGAGAGTCGTCCAGTAATACGTGTGTTTATTCTCTGCCCTTTGCTGCAACTATACGAGGGAAAGACTGACATAATAAATTTTGGTGTACGGCAATGATTTTATTGGTTGCTGAAATTATTGTAACACACACATCAATACACATTGCATTATTTCTTAGTCGGCTGTTTCAATCATATGCTTATATGAGTTACTAGTTACGCCACAAGAAAACGGAGGAATGAATCTAAATAAGTTTTGATAATAAGTACAAGTCAACTATGTTAATATTTCTAGTCTGCAAACATACGCTCGACAAATACCAAAACTTATTACAAAAAGTTGTTCATGTGGTGTTACATTTAAACTTTCAATCCTTAAAATAGGATCGCTTCGATCATGTAGTTTTGCTTGTTATCAGTGACAAGATTATTTCGATCGTATGACTTTTACTTGCTAACGGTTCGATAGAGTTATTACACCGACTGCCACTGTAAGAGTGTAGAAATAAATAGCATACCCAATCGATAATTTTTTCAATTATGCACAGAAAACGAATTTCGAATAAGAAACAGCAAGCAAATGACACATTTGCCGCACGCAAATCCGTATTTTTGCGCAGAAATTGAATAGCAAGCAATCAATGTGACGTGAAAAATGTATGATTTCAAGTGATTGAAACTCAATTGATGCAAACAAAAAGTGCATACACTACTAACTATAAAAATGGATATTTATTGAAAAGACTAACGAAAGTTTTTGCATTCACAGTTATATTGATATTCAGCAACCATGTTGTTAGTATTTGACGACAAACGCAAAACCGAGCCAAAATTAATTTTAGATGCCGCACTTTTATATGACAATCATACTTATTATGTTAGGATTATACACAGCTTTTCTTATAAATAACATTGTTAAAGATACTCCAGTCGTGACCACCAAATTGAAAACAAAAACTAATATGACACTTCCAACCGTGTTTTTTGCATTTAAATACGCTTACACCATAAGCTGCGTTTTACAGTATAGATGTAAATGTTTTCTAATGGTGTTTTTGTATTAAAATTTTGTGTTATTACTAAATTAACATTGGTACATTGGTCGAGTTTCTTACTACAACAAAATTAGATACACTATAAACTATTAAGCTATTAACAGCAATACATTTTATACTGTACATATTCTACTAAAGCAACCGCTTCAACAAAGGATGAGTGCTCCAAGTATATCACACAGCCAAGGCCAGCAAAATTTGGTTTTTTTTTACATGGGTTACTTTACGCCTCCGTTGAGTTTAAAAGTAACATCAACTGACAGTAAAGAAGAAGGGCTTCGGGGAGTATTGTTTTCAATGACCATTATTGATAAAAATTTCGATTCCTGCCCATTCTGTTACTCATCGAATGATAATTGATCTTCTCGATACTGGTATTTTTTTAATTCTATTATTGCTATTATTTTTTCCCAAATACGTACTAAAAAAAATATTCTTTTTTGTATATAAAATAAGAAACCTATGTAAAAGTAAACAACCAAACAATTGATGAAGTTAGAAAAATTGATTCAAATTTTGTCGAATCTGTGATAAAACAAACACGATGTATACTTTTTTACCATCAAGCTAATTACTTGACTTATTCTCAAAATGTGAGAAAAATTATTATACCCAATATACTTGCTAACATTGGTTTCTCGTAAACTATCCGTATACCTTATTTGACTACTGCGTTAAGTAAGTACATGGATAAGAATTCAAGTATGACACATCCCCATGATATACTAATATTGAATAATAATTATAGCGAGCGATCCTTTATCCGAAGATTTTGGCACATTAATATCAAACATATATGGAACAGTAAATATAAGTCCTAATAGTTTTTTTGTTAGAACGGACAAGAAGAGGAGGTAATTAATTTGATTAAGATGTCAATATTATAATAAAAACTTTACTAATTTCATATTTACATGAACAACCAGATCAAACACGGTAAGTTTAACTATCTCACATTTGTGCTATTAACAATAACTTGTGCATTAATACGCTTAACTGCGTTTAAACAGGTGCTCGGTTTATTGGGTTTACTTGGTGGTGCATGGAGCTTAGCCATAACAGGATACACTACTCTATTTGGTAATGTTCTGACGCGCTTTTTTTATTGTAATTAATAAAAAATTTTTTATATATTTAATCTGCTTTATCGTTTCTTAGGCAGTAAACGTTTAGCACCGTTGGGTTTAATCCATTCATACTGTTGCTGTTTTATTCGATCCACTCGTTCGCGACTTTGTAAATCATCCCGTACTACCATTACAATCTTCTAGATTACTGGATAATTCATCGACACTGGATGTATCAACTTCATCAAGTGATTTATCTTTTCAAGATAACAATACATTGCAACAACGACTAGACGCTTTAGAATTGTTTCTCAAGGAGTATGTGATCGACCAGACATATTTGGAAAATCTGAAAGATAACAAATATTCGAACAGACTTAGCAAATTTTTGGGAAAGTCCGACTTGGAAAGATCGGAAGAAAAATGATTCTGATACAAATAACGGTAATTTACCATCACGAGCTTTTTCTACAGAAAATGGTCTAATACAATCAAAGTGCCATCGACCACTCAACCGCAACAATTGTCTACAGACAGTCCAAATATTCGAGGCATTTTCAACTACCAATTACCTTGCATGCTATAATTTTCAAAGAAACCAGCTTTTAATTAATGATAGTGTATGTTAAAATATTAATGAGCAGTTAGTAAATTTGACTACTAACTTGAATTGTAATCTATAATATATAACGTTGAGTTAAGAGACAGTTTTGTACTTTCATAAATATTAACTATTTAATATTGGATAATTTAATTTACATGTTGTATAGTTAGTTCAGCATACTGGTGGGTAGTACTTTATTCACAAAGTCTAACATTTGATGTCTGTTATTAATTCTAGAATAGATTTTTAGTCGATAATATTGTCAAATGACACTTATTAATAACGTTGTTAAAATTTAGATTTATTTAATTGAGTAGTAAGCTTACCGACGGGGAATATAAAAAATGTTTCTGTTACGATGAGAGTGTTATTTTAAAAGTTACCATTGTCGTACAAGAATGAGCATCCAAGGTACGCTACGTCATCCAGAAAATTTCTGTCAGCGCCGTCTATCGAGGGGTGTCAGACAACAATCAACGAATATTCATTTTATACAAATGGTTGGACTGTTAATACAGAAAAAAAAAACAATTAGTCGAGAAATTATAGTAGAATTTTTAATCTTTTAAGCAAAGCGTGTGTAGATTAGCGTGCGCAGACTACTACTTTTCGCAAATAAGACTGTACACAACATTTTCTTTTACAATGGATGTCTTTCAACAAATATCTGTACAAGCGGTTATCATAAAATGTAACTTATATGCATAATATTTGTATACTAAATTATTAATTCAAATTATTGACAGACGTTATCGATTGTGTATTAACTAGTAGCATTTTATTAAAGAAATTGGAGAAACACAATGATGTGGGCTAAAAATATCACGCATTGTCGTGTAACACAAAAGTGGTTCCGAATAATTGCTTTTGATGTTTACGGTTTATATAAAATTGAGTCAATCAATCATATTAAACTTAATCTTTTTGTATCGAGCAGAATGGTAATTAATTTCCTAAGTATTACCGTTACGTTCTACTATTTGCAGCAACCGTAATACAAGATTTTTGTGTGTCAAATAATATTCGACTAAATTTCTATGCATTATCGCACATCGTGATAAACTGATAACTTTTCAATGGTTTGCTTTCCTTTTTCGAAACAATATAACGGAAATTCGGCGTTTGCATAACACAGTGTCACGTTGTGCAAACGATAATGTCAGTTGTCGGAGAATTAAAATTCTAATCCGCACTGGTTTTGGTACTTGAAACCCCAAACGTAATGCATTTGTCATGGGTGCTGTATCAATTCTTCCTCCTACTTTGGTCAACAAGAAACGCCCACTATAAATAGAGTGACTATTCAAGCATTTAGTCAATACGAATGTTTGTAGTACGTCATAACAATAAAAGTTTACATCTGAAAATCTGCATGCGTCTATAAAAAAATGAGGGGGGAGAAAAAACTAGGAGGTTTCACCGTCGATCAATTAATTTTTGCTTTGTAACACGACCCATTGATCTTTTACCATTATTATACGTGGGATATATTGGTCTCATCGAATAAGATTCTCTCTAGTAATAAGGCATGTTTGTTCCGGTATCGAATACTCTCCTGCTGTTATTTTCAAAATTGATCAACCCAATTTTATCCGACGTAACGTTCGGTTAACATAGATGATAACTTTTATAACAAAGCATTTTAACGGTTTATTTACGTATTATGAAAAGTATTTCACTTTGCGAATAATTTGCATTAACAATGAAGCGGAGCGCTTTGTTAAACAAGATTGCGATATCTTGGCATTGCTTGCATTTCGAAACTCTCCAAGGAGGTGGCGCATGCATAAATTATTTAAAATACACAAAATAATAGTACAATTTTACTCAAACAGAAACTTCTCTATGACATTTATTGTTCGCCTTGGATTTGTTATGTGATACAGATAAGAACAAGGAATCGTCTTTTTCTTACAAGGCTAAATGTCCGATTACTAATTTAGCCTACGCATAAATTGTCAATACGATTTGTATTGTATAATTTTAAGCGTCGTCGCGCATTTGACGTAGCCCAGCCACGATTTGTTTCTGCTGACCGAATGCTTTTTTGTTCAAACTTATGCTTTTTATGGATAACTAATAATGGCGGTTTTAACTAAAGTCAACATCTGTTGTCAGCAACATTACATTATCTGCAACCAGAAGCAATAAAAAGTTTTTATGTTTGTATTTGAAAATATGGTGTAATGTAATATTAAACATCGTTTGCATTATAAATAATTTACCTAAGTTTTGGAAATACTAAATGACAACTTATTATGTTACTATAAACATAATTACAAATTGTCCTCTAACTATAAATACCATGGTTATCCGCATCAAGTCCACTCTTTATCGAATAAAGCTTCGATCTCATATCACACTGTCCTAATATTAACGCTCTGACGGTTCTTACGCTAGCTTTATTTACTACTACGAAAAATGTATTTTAAGCTCAACACACTCTTACTCCTTCTTGCCATTTTATTTGAAACTATTATTACTTCTTCCGCCAGAAGATCAAATCTTCATGTCCAACATCATGGCAAGGCTACGTGGTTTTACCCCGGAGTGGGCGCTTGCGGAGTATCTAACACAAGCAATGATTTGGTTGTTTCAATCCCAGCTAAAATATTCGACAAATTTACACCGCATAAGAATCCAAACGAAAACACGCTCTGTGGAAAACAAGTCAGCATTGAACACGAAGGAATAGTCATATATGCTGTTATTGCAGACAGATGCTCAGGATGCAGCAAGAACAATATCGATTTGAGCCTAAGTGCGTTTGCTCTGCTAGATGACCCCAATAAGGGAGTAATATCGGTTACTTGGAAAATCTTAAATTGACATTAATAATGGTGTATTGTTGGTATAATTATTGTTTATGAGTTTATATTAGATTGTCTTGTAGAGTTTTAGTCGGACTGCAAGACTCGGAAAATAATGTATTTTATTATCAATTATTCTCGGTAATTAGTGGCCATTGTTCAATTAGCTTAATATTATTTGCTTTTCTTGCAAAAATTATAACAGTCATAACAAAAACGTGCATTATTTGTTAACTAATGAATAAACGATCGTCCACAGTGAAAATATGTCCGCGTGTAACATTATATTATTGTAAATATTGAAGGTGTGTGCATTTGGGGATTATGCACTTGGATAAGTTTATCAGTAAACTCATATTATTCAGAAAATTTTAGTATGTGCTAATGATACACAGCTTTTACCTGTTACATGTTAGCATACATATTATTAATATGGCTCTGGTAAACACATTTTCTACCTGTTAGTATTAAGTTTATGTCACACAAGTTATATTTATAAATAATGAATAGATATTAAGACACTTGCAAATTCAATATAATATTAATAATTTTGTCAATTTATGTGACAAAAACATTGGTATTTATCAATTTTCATCGTGTACAAAAGTAGTTAACATGGTCAAATCTAGTAGTTATAAAATAATAATAATAATAATACTAAGGATAGAAATAAATAAAAAGGCATAGATCAGAATATGTTGTTCTTTTTAGAGACCAATCAATGGACAAATTATTTAGAATTGAGTGTGTCAAGACTACTTTGTGCTTTGGCAAATCCCTGTTCAGCAGCTTTCTGATACAACTCAGCTGCCTTCTGAATATTCTTTTCTATTCCTTTCCCATTGTGATAACAAACACCAAGATGATATTGTGCCACAGCAAAACCTTGTTCAGCAGCTTTCTGATACAGCTCAACTGCTTTATGAATATTCATTTCCACTCCCTTCCCATACTCATAACAACCACCAAGATTATCTTGTGCCATGGCATGCCCTTGATCAGCTGCTTTCCTATACAGCTCAACTGCTTTATAAATATTCCTTACCACTCCTATCCCATTCTCATAGCAAACACCAAGATTATTTTGTGCATTGGCATGACCTCGCTCAGCTGCCTTCTGATACAGCTCAACTGACTTTTGACTATTCTGTTCCACTCCTGTTCCATCCCTATAGCAAATAGCAAGATTATATTGTGCCATAGCATCACCTTGTTCAGCAGCTTTCTGATACAGCTCAACTGCTTTATAAATATTCTTCTCCACTCCTTTCTTATACTCATAACAAACACCAAGATTATATTGTGCAGTGGCATATCCTTGTTCAGCTGCCTTCTGATACAGCTCAACTGCTTTATGAATATTCCTTTCCACTCCCATCCCATTCTCATAACAAACAGCAAGATTATTTTGTGCATTGGCATATCCTTGTTCTGCTGCTTTCTGATACAGCTCAACTGCTCCATAAATATTCTTTTCCATCACTTTCCCATACTCATAGCATACAGCAAGATTATATTGTGCATTGGCATATCCTTGCTCAGCTGCTTTCTGATACAGCTCAACTGACTGTCGGATATTCTTTCCCACTCCTGTCCCATGCTCATAACAAACACCAAGATTATTTTGTGCATTGGCATATCCTTGCTTAGCTGCTTTCTGATACAGCTCAATTGCTTTATAAATATTCTTTTCAACCCCTTTCCCATATTCATAGCAAATAGCAAGATTATTTTGTGCCATAGCATGTCCTTGCTCAACTGTTTTCTGGTACAGCTCAACTGCTTTATGAATATTCCTTTCCACTCCTGCCCCATTCTCATAGCAGACACCAAGATTATATTGTGCATTGGGATGTCCTTGCTCAGCTGCTTTCTGATACAGCTCAACTGCTTTATGAATATCCATTCCTACTCCTGTTCCATTGTGGTAGCAAACACCAAGACTATATTGTGCCATAGCATCTCCTTGTTCAGCTGCTTTCTGATACAGCTCAACTGCTTTATAAATATTCCTTTCCACTCCTTTCCCATATTCATAGCAAACACCAAGATTGTTTTGTGCATTGACACATCCTTGCTCTGCTGCTTTCTGATACAGCTCAACTGACTTTTGAATATTCTTTTCCACTCCTGTCCCATCTGCATAGCAAACACCAAGATTACTTTGTGCCAAAGCATGTCCTTGTTCAGCTGCATTCCAATACAACTCGACTGCTTTTTGATAGTTCTTTTCCACTCCTTTCCCATTGTGATAACAAAAACCAAGATTATTTTGTGCATTGGCATATCCTTGATCAACTGCTTTCTGATACAGCACAACTGCTTTATGAATATTCATTTCCACTCCTATCCCATTTTCATAACAAACACCGAGATTATTTTGTGCATTGGCATATCCTTGTTCAACTGATTTCTGATACAGCTCAACTGCTTTATGAATATTCTTTTCCACCCCTTTTCCATATTCATAGCAAAAACCAAGATTGCATTGTGCCATAGCATCTCCTTGTTCAGCTGCTTTCTGATACAGCTCAACTGCCTTTTGAATATTCTTTTCCACTCCTGTCCCATTTGCATAGCAAACACCAAGATTATTTTGTGCATTGGCATATCCTTGCTCAGCAGCTTTCTGATACAGCTCAACTGCTTTATGAATATCCATTTCAACCCCCATTCCATTGTGATAGCAAATAGCAAGACTATTTTGTGCTGCAGTATTGCCCATTTCTGCTGATTGTTGATACCATTGAACAGCTTGTCCAAGATTGGTTTCTGTTTCTATTCCATGTGCATAAAAGAATCCAATCAGCCAAAAGCATTGTCCACAATTGGTATGAGTCTTTAATGTAGCAATTAAACTTTCTTGTTCATTGTAATTTTGCATCAGCCAGTTTTTGATGTACCCCGGTAATTGCTTCATAGATTTTCCTTCAAGGAGTAACTTGTTGCATAATACTGACAACTCATCAGAAAGAGGGTGCTCTTTGACCTTGAGATTTTGGTTAGAATCATGTGTTGTGAATGTGTCCAGTTCTATCACTAGACTTTTTAATCTTTGGTAACATTCTTCACTAGTTGGCCTCTTCTCTGACTCATCATCCCAGCACTCAGTATATAAGTTTTTATATTTTTCTGGTGTGCCTGGGATTACATCATGACGACCACCACTCAGTCTATAAAGCTCAATGTCTGATATACTGTCCAATTCACTGCATGGATATTTTCTACTGGATATTTCCCATAGAATAATCCCAAGGCTGAAAATATCAGATTTTTCATCGCGCATATTATTGCTAACAAAACACTTGGGATCAAGGTATGCTTTAGCTCCTAGGTGATTTGAGCCAGTAGTCTTTTGTAGTAATACTTTTTCAGATACCCCAAAATCAGTGATCTTAGCCGTTTTCCCATGAATTAATACATTGTTCGAAGACTTGTGATTATAACACATAAGGAAACAACGTATCAGTCACAGTTATCACGTTAAATAAAAATCGAATCGTACTACTGAATAATAACTTACTAAATCTTTATGCAAGATTCCTGCTTTGTGAATATACCTCAATCCGTTAACGATATCCAAACCCAGTTGACAGTTGGCAGGCCAATCTAGTTTGATAGCTGGCGTCGATAAGTATTCCCGCAATGAACCATTGTCGGCATAATCAAAAACCATCAAGTATCTTCCTTTGACGTCTATAAAGTTTGGAAAAATATTATGCTCACGCTTATTTCATAACACATTAAACGCCTCACGCACGTTACCTTTGCTAATTCCAAGAAATCGAATTATGTTGGGATGGTCATCTACTCTTCGATGAATCTTGAGCTAGAATGTAGTCATCATGTATAAGAACCACGGTTCCATGCACCTAACAGCAGTTCCATCACGTATCATTACTAACCTCATTTACAAAACTTCTGAGAAACTCCTCTTCGTCTGAATACTTGATCATTTTGTAAGCAACCGTGATGTCCGACGATGCTACTTTTGCTTTGAAAACTACGCCAAATCCACCATGGCCTATGCAGTCTCTATCGATCAAGTCGTCGTAAGGATAGAATCGAATGTATTCGCTTTCAAGGCTCCTTTCTAGCCATTCCTTGTCAGTGGCACTTGATGTCATCGTTGTTATTGCTGTTTGACTTGGAAATTTTGCGCTCATGCTATAATTTTATTGACCTGTGTCACAACGTAGTAACACACGTACAGCAGCCCAGCCAGTGTATGCACACAGCCCCAGGCACAGCCCCCAGGCAGGCACAGCCCCGGCTTATCATAAGCTATATAGCATCGATGACATTATTGTTGTAGAGATACGCATTACCTTCTTCGGCCATAAACAGTTTTAATTCATCAGTATTGATATGTTCTCGATGGGTTTAAGTCCGAACTAATAAATAGCCAGTCAATACAAGAAAATCTGCTTTTACCATTGCCTTGTTGCAGACGCCATACATTGTGCAGGCTTGCGTAACCTTTCCAGGGGTATTTTATTACAATATATCCATCGTACGGAAAGCAAACTTCCAAGAAACTTAATACCATTTAATTATTGCCTTTAGCTTTCCTTAATTTTTTCTCCATAATCAATATCTTCTTATCATATCTATGTTTTTAAGAGTTGGGTTCCTGACTTGTATCATTCCAACAGAAGTTATCGTTTGCTAATTGCTCTGATACATAGATCTAATTTCCTTACTAAACAAAACCTACCTTTCAACTATTTTAATTTGCACAGTTATTCGAAAATGTTCTAACATTCCCCATTTTGCTAGCACTATGACATCTTAAGATTTATATACTAATCCCACAAATTAATCGTTGCGTTGCACTCCATCTTAGAATAAACTCTAATTATAGAGGATTCCATAACGCAATACCCATGATAATATCTAAACGAAAATCAATGACATACTACTAATAATCATACCCATCAACTAAACACAAAATTTTTATTCACAATAATAGAATATTCTCGTATAATTAATCACTGGCATACACTTACCCAATTAGAA